CGCAAATGGCTACCATATTGAAAAATATACTATTTTTGTATGATAATTATGGGTTTTGTATTTTATTTTAATAGAAGTTGATGTTGCTTTTGCAATTATCCATCAATTTTTTAAAATTAAACACTATCTACAGATTTGCATCGAAGCGTTTCTTATGATAGTGATTTTAATCACTGTCAGATTAAATCTATACTGGACCCTACTATGCAATGTCTCTACTATGCCGCGACCCCACTGTGCTACCGTTTTTTACCGAATTTTTTTTTTTGTAAATTTTATTTATATATTTTGTATTGCCATTCAAAATAATTTTTTTTTATATATATATATCTAATAAAGATGGTTTACCAATGAAAAAATATGAGGTATTTTAATTGAAAAATCATTATATTTATTTTGATAATTAAGGAAATTATAACATCATATATTTGAAGGGAAAAAATTATTTAATTGATCAATCAATTATCAAAACGGCATTCGACTTATTAATTCTGTTTCGCTAAGTTATGTAGGTTTTCCCATTTTTTAAGTCATAAACAATGTTAAAAATAACAGTAAAAGTGATTTTCGTTAATTGAGGGCATAGGCGATGGCTTTTAAAAGAACGTTAAACACATATACTTTAGGGATGTATCAATGCTACTCGTATATCTAAATATTTTTAATGTGTTTGCTTCTTTTGTTCCTAATGCTATAAAATCAAACTAAATAAAATTAAAATCGTTTTTATTTAAAAGTTTTTTAGATTTTTCTATAGTTGAACTTATCTACAAATCCATGAGTATACAATATTTTTTTATAAATGTGTATTTATGAGTTTAATTAATATAATTTTATGAATAACTTGTATTACTTATAAATTTAGTATTTTCCATTATCCATTAACACTGTTTTAGAGTTATTCAGTATTTTTAATTAGAAGAGTTCATTACTGTAATCCTGTGTTTTACTGTTATAAAATAATATACTACGTAATGAGATAATTACATAGAAAATTTTACAAATATCATATCAAAACTTCCAGTTATGTAAAGATTTGTTTATGTGTTTACTGTGACTCATAAAGTAAAAGAAATAACATATTATTTTATTTTATGGTATAAATTAAATTTCGGTGTTGGTAATCATAAAAAAAACATTAGATATCACGGAAAAATACATTTAAGGGTAATAAATTCAAATATGTTTTGTTAAATCAATAAACCAACATAATTAAGTATTATGTTTAAATTCGTTACTGTTTTATCTTAATTTGTATATATTATAGCAGTGGATTTATTGTGTGTCAGCATTAAATTTATAAGTAAATAATGGTAATATTGTATAACAAATATAAATATTTTATTTACATATTTATTATTGAAATTATGGTTTGAGTTTTCTAAAGGACACAAGATATAACATTTATTAATAATAAAGTTATAAATATAGTTGACGAATTATAAAACGCCAAAATTCTAAATCAAAACTCTCCTTGTACCTTTAATTATTTAATTATTAATCCAATCTTTTAATATTTTTAATTAATTGATAAATTTTAAGTTCATTATTATAACTTAAATTATATATTTGTTTTATTTTTTAGAATAAAAATTATTTTATACCATTTGTTTAATTAATAAAAATTATTAAAAAAAAAGTAAAGGATCTATTTAAATTATACAAGGGCAAATATGTTACATAAAATCGTGTCTGAATAAAAAAGACGGGAATATTTTCAATTGTATAACCATCTTTATGATGACTCATTACTTGTTTTTCTCTAAGCAACCCCCTGACTAAATGAATAAACATTTGCAACTTTTTTTAGAAGAAACAAATAAATAATTATCCCTTGTGATGGACTAACTTATTATTCGATATGAGCTATTTAAATAATATTCATAAAACTACAAAATAATTTGTTAATAGCAAAAACTTCAATGTAAATATAAACGTCAAAGTTGTAATAAAACTGCCCTTATAATTTATTTTAAATATTAAAAATATGCTTTAATATGGGTAAAATTGTTTTAGTAAAATGTTTTCTTATGCTATTTAAATTTTTAAATATTCCTAGACAAGTATTAAACAAAAACATGTTTTCGATAAAATAGTATCACAAATATTATTAAAATCAAATGAAACAATACATCATTAACCTCTTTAAAAGATAGCCATAACCTTTGAAATTATAAGATACTTTACACTTTTTAACTATACATTATAAAAGTAAATAACATAAAATAACCAAATAGCTATAAATAATGTAACATAAACATAAATAACTATAAACTGTATTAAATAATAAGCCATAATAATAATAATAAATATAACACTACCATAACTTATCAACGTTAACAAGTTTAACTAAAGTGTTACTTTGTAGTAAAATATTAACAAAGAATTTTATAAATACTTACTGTAAATGCATAAAATAAATAAATAATTTGTTAGGTATTATACCTAACAAGACAATGTTTTCATTTATAAGTTATAAAATATTGTCTTTCACTATACATAATAATATAAAATAATGCTATTATAATTATACAATTAATATACAGATGAAAAAGAGAAGATGTAGCTATACACCATAACTAATTGGCTTTTTCATCGTCAATAGAATCAATTTCATTTGTTTCGCGATTATTGATTTCAACATCAATAAGCTCTTCTTCGTCATCATCTTCGTCATTTTTTTCATTTTCTGTTTTTACGTTTATTTCGTCATGATTTTCTAATTTTATAGATGTCTCAGTGTCTTTCTCACCTTTGTCGATTTCATCACTGTTTTTAGTTTTAATATTTTCTCTTTTAACACCATTAATTGGTTCTGAAGCTGATACTATGGGTAATTCTCTTTTATGGTGATCGTACATATGACATTGTAAGTCGATTTGAGTCATGAAACTTTGATAGCACTCAGTACACTTGAACATTTTTTCACAAATAGACATAAATTTATTTTGGTATTTGTAAAAGTTCATCTAAAATTAACGTAATATAATTATTAAATAAGATTATTTTTAGCATATTAATGTCTTAATTGTAAATAAATTACCAGTTCACTTACGTTTGCCAATACATCTTGCCCTTGGTGTTCCAAAGTGTGACGATCTAATTCGGCTGTGAAGAAAAACTTAGCTTGACAATTAGGTCTTGGACAATCATATGGAGGTGTTTCGGTTGAATGGTCGACTGACATATGAACTTGAAGACCCGTTGGCACAGTGAATATAGCCGAACATAAGTAGCAGGTAAAGGCTTTACATCCGGCGAACGTGTGTTCAATTAAATGTGTCTGAAGACTATTGGTATTGGATAATACACACGGACAAAGACCACATTCGAATCCATCAACTGAACCATTTAAAGTTGCTAGATGTGTACCAAGATGAATTGTAGCTTCTTGTTGAGACTCAAATCCAATCTGAAAAAATAATATTAGTATACAAGGAATTTTCATCAAAGACGAAAATATACATTTCTAAATCAATATTTTATTATAATTTCAAATCTGTAATTAAAATTTTCCTATTCTCTAGTTTTTGTGATAATTAGTTTAAAACAAATAATTACACCTAAATAATTAATAAAAAACGGAAGCATAGTGGGGTCGCGACACAGTGTGAATGTGGTATAGTTGTGATTAGTATAGATGATATCTGACAATGATTAAAATCACTAAATAAGAAACGCTTCGATGCAAATCTGAAGATAGTGTTTAATTTTAAGAAATTGGTGGATTAGTGAAAAGAAAAATTCTAACTCAAAAAGAATTATAGAAAAATTGCAAAAAAATCATTGCCACGGCAATTAAAATACAATACCAAGAATTTTAACACAAAAATAGCATATTTTTTAATTACGGCAACCATTTACACATAGAAAATAAATCGTCGGGACAATTTTTTTTTTAATTTATAGTACATAACATTAGCTTTATTTAACATAAGTTTGAAGCTCGGAGTATTTCCGGAACATTTTTAAAACTTAAGTTGAAAACGTTAAATTTTTGTGTAGAAGTTACTATTTTGAATCGTCTCCTGTGGACAGGTAAAGGGTCAGATTTTCAAAAAATTTATATCAAATGATAGGAAAATATCTAAGGGTTTCTTATAAAAAGAATTATTTTGATTTGTTCATTTTTTAATAAGTTATGGCAATTTTTAGAAAAAAAAATGTCGAAATTTACCGATTTTAAAAATAGTAATTTTTTGGGGGGTTTTCACTATTTACAGGGAACGAAGGCAAAATTTTCAATTATTGAGAGTAATTCCTTCAACTAGATACGATTTGTGGTCTTTTGGCGTATTGTTGAGAAAAATCGGTCTAATAAAAGCTGAGAAAAAGTAATGACAGACAAAAAAAAACTCATCATGTTAAAATTAATAACTTCTCAGCTTTGCGTCGAAGCTAAAAGTTAAAAAATGTCAAAAATTATTAATATTAAAAATCGCAATTTTTGGGGGATTTTCTTTATTTACAGTAAATTTTTATTTGTTTATAATAACAAACATTTACAAATAATCTATCATTTAACGATTGAATATTCTAGAAACGAGAAATAAAAAATACACTTGTATCAAAGCTCAAATCAGGAAAAAAAATCGTGTGAAAAGTACTCTGAAAAATTTGATCCGCGAAAATTATTGGGGAAATTTAAATAATAGCTGTACAGCAATAAACCCAGAAGAAAATGAGCTACGCGAAATAGATTTTTTATATATGACACATACAGGAGATTCGCTTTTTAAAGATCATCTTAATACTTTATATGAGATCCTTAAAGATATACTCAATAAGATTAAGTCATTTTTAGATTTTTTTGCAGTTACTGATAGAACCGTTCATGATAAATGTAAAATATTAGAAGACTTCTATCCTATTACTAAAAATTTACTTGAAGAATTATCTCAACTGGAAACAGAAGACAAATTAATTTCAAAGTGTTTGAAATTCTACGACAGGTTTGAAAATATCGATGATATCATTTCTTGAATATTGTGATGTTTTTATGTACTATAAAGTATTTTTGAGCCATATTGGCTTTCCTAGTTATTGAGAATGAATCTTGTCAAGATTACACGTTTATTATTTTCTTTAGTTTTGTACATAGTACATAATTTCTGTTAAGCATTATGCACATTTTGATACGTCATTATTTTTTTGTATTCATATAAAATGTTCATTATAATTGCATTAAAATGTATTTACTTATTAAAAAACTTATTTTCCTTTTAAATATTGTTCACATTATTAATCGATCAAAACTTAGTGTATAAAAACAAAACATTTATTAAGAGCTAACATTTAATTTAATTATTTAAAATAATCATTTGACCAGTTTTAAAGTCTACCAGTTTTATTCACAAAATAATTTTGTTTCGATAACATATGCATATTATATTAAATAAAAAAATAATAAATATTTTACATCGATATTTACGAAATAATATTATGTATAAACGTATAGTCTTAAAGATATCAAGATAAGTGTAGTCGTAAGATATGCACTATGCATGCCAATAATTCGTTGTTAAAAATTAACTTAAAAAAAAACCAAATAAAATAGATTTAACATGATATTTTGGATCAAAATTTTACAAGAATTATTGTTAACATATTAAAAATCAAAATTAATAATTTAGAAAAAAACATTTTTATATTGAATTACCTGTTTTATTTTAATTAGTAAATATCTCAAAAAAACTGGAGGCGATAGAAAAAATCTATTTGTAGATTTGAAATTTCAAAAGATTGCTTTAGAAAAGTATATTTTGTCTTTGATGATTAAAAAATGGTTTCATTTTGTTGACCAGAATAATTAATCAAAAATATATATATTAAGATATTTTAGTCAACAAATTTATTTAATTGAATAATTATATTACCTTGCATTTAAAACAATGAAACGGTTTTCTATGCACCGAAGTTAAATGATGTTGTAATGAGCCAAAAGTTTCAAATGAAGTTCCACAATCGATACAACGCTCTGAAGAATTTTTCAATGAATTACAATGGGTACACTGTGATGATGGAGAATTCTTGTATCGATTACAAGTACTACAGATTACAGGAGGTTCTTTGAGTCTAGTTAGATGATAGTTAATATGCACTTTAACTTCTATCTCTGATACTAAGGTTTGCCTACATATTATACAAGAAGTAGGGAATGTCAAATGGCTTCCATTTATGTTAATAGGATTACAATGTTTTTGAAGATGTTGATAAAATTGTTCTTCGCTGTCTATAATCATTTTACAGTGACTACACATAGTACTTGTAACCACCTGAAAAAAAATTAGTGTTCAGAAATATTTTATCGAGTATAAAAAAATGTGTTTCTGTACAAACCTTGCAATGTGTTAGCTTGTGTTCAGCTAAGCTGATAGCAGATTGATATATTTCGTCACAAATATTACACTTGTGTTTTCCTGCATTTGAACCTTGTTGCGAATGAGTTTTCATATGATTTTCTAATTCTGCTCTGGATTTACAATTTTCACTGCAGTAAGCGCAGTGTAAGCTCATCTAAAAAATTAAACCGTTTATTCAGTACATCTACCATAATAGTTTTAAATTTAGTTAAAGCTTACTTTTGTCGACAAATTTGTAGGTTTTACTTGGTGAACATTTCTTTTATGTGCAATCAAGTCTAGCTCATTCCGAAAATCATTTTTTTCGCAAATATCACATGTGTTTGATCCATTATCTAAAGAGTGTTTATTACCATCAGTTTGTCTAGGCAAGTAAGTAGGAGAAGGGCATGCAGAATTTGGAGATTCTCTGTGATTTAGGTTAAGGTGACTAAGTATCTGCTAACATAAAATTAATTTATTTAGAAATTCAATAGATAAATATAAACAGATTATTAAATACGGTTGGTAATAATTACAGGCGAATTGTGATGTGTTTGTATGTGTCTATCTAATAAAAACTCGATATGGAATGATTCCGCACAATATTGACACTGAAACTGTTTAGAGTGGCTTGCTAGATGTTGTTCCATGTCCGATTGCGTATTAAATGTAGCATGACATACTAGACACCTTAACATCTAAAAAAAATAAAATATTCAATTAATATAAAATAAGGACTAATAAAATGTCAAATTTGCCTATATTCACCAAATTATTATTTTGGACTGATGGGGGAGATTTGGCGGTATAATGTGTACTTCTTAAATGGTCGATAAATTCGATTTCCGACTGAAACAATGGCCTAGATACTCCTGTACAGTTGTTACAACGGAACATTCTATGTTCACTCCCATGATTCATACTAAAATGGACCTTAAGAAAAGACAAAATTTTGTCAAAGTTAAAAAAGTCGACGATGTTTATAGTAAGTTAACTTACCTTTAATGCAGATTTAGTAGAGAATACTTCCTTGCACAGCATACATCTATAAAAATTTTGAGCATGCGTTTCTATTAAATGTTTTTGGATATTCTCAGACGTGGTGAATGATGTGGAACATTCTTGACACGAGTATTCGGCAGCTGCCGTTAAGAAATGACCGATTACGTGCTGTTGGTAGTCTTCAAATAGAGTAAACGTTAAATGACAGTGAGGGCAAGGCAACTGAAGTTTGGATACATCGACCGCAGGTCTATTGGACTGGCGTTTATTGTCGTATGAGCGTTCGGTTTTTAAAGAATATATATTTCGGTCCGTAAGCGTTTGAAGTGATTGTTCGTGATTAGGTGAAGACCGAGACTTTTTACTACTTTGATGATTCCGAGAATCTACTGACTTGTGTTTTCCCGATTGTTTTTTTGATATTGACAAATCAGTAGGACCTGTCTGGCCATTGTCTTCCGATAAAAAACTGTGATATCCGTTCGACCAGCTAAATGCCGATGTTTCTTTATTATTACTATTGTTATTATTGTTGTTGTTTAGGACGGAGTTGAAATAGTGCGCAGTTGTAAAATGTTTATGAAGAGAAATAACTGATGGAAATTGGCTCATACACAATCGACACGAGAATGGGGGTAGACCTAAAGGAGGTGAATCAGAAAAGTTCAACCACGGAAATCCAGAAGAAATTGATGTAAAGTCTTCATGAGGTTTACCATTTAAAAATGCGGCTAAATACAAAAACATGTTCCCACGTTGAATACGTGAATGATATTATCATTAAGTGACCTAAACTGTATGACGACTTACCATGTTTGGTTTGAAAATGTTGCTGCAGAGCGTCCATACTCGGCAATTCTTTAGTACAATATACACAAATGTACTGATTGGGAGTTTTTGGTGGCGTTGCTCGTTTTGAGCTTCTGGAATTTGAAGATAACTGTTCGCCTAAATGATGATTAGCAGTATGATTCTGTGAAATGTTCAAAATTTATTTATTAATAAACTAAAATAAAAAAAAAAAGAAATTATCTGGATGTTTGGATTGTTTTTGTATAATACATAACACTATCTAGTGGTTAATGTTAAAATCATGAGTTTTGTAGTTGAACCTTCTAAACGCTAAGCGGTGTTTTGATCGTTGGTTTTCTTATTAATAAAATGATATTTAAATTTTAGGAGGGAAAGGCATTTGGGAACAGAGTATTCATTTATTGCAAGAGTTACACTACAGATTATTTCTATAATGAAAGAACACTTTTTGAAAGCAAATTTTTTTAAGTCTTAGTAGTATTTAATTTTTTGAACTACAAGAAACAAATATTAACAAAATATTGTGTTAAACAAAAATTTAGTATTTCGTAAATATATCGCGTTAAATTAATAATGAGTGGAGTATCGTCAAACTTTTGAATATCAATAATTTGTATAGTGAGAAGTAGTATGATTAAAGCAAAAAAAAATAATAACTGGGTGTTATTAAGAATAATATTATAAAAATATTTGGGTTATTCTTGAAAAGTATGGATATTATCTAAAAATTGAAAATTCAAACTTTATTTACAATTCTACTATAAAATGATCAGTTTGACATTCTTCTATTTTCCCAACTTGACATGCTTAAAGGTGATCACCCTCTTTCATATGTCAGGGAGTCAAAGATCGTTTTTAGCTAGGTCAACGATGAACGAGATGGGTATCACAGCCGGCTTACATCAGAGACCAGACACCACCAAAGAAAAAAATCACAAGAAAAATCTCGTTGGCACCCTGGGAATCGAACCCCGTGCACTGAACACATACGTTTCTACATATAGGTCATGTCGACCCCTTATGTACAATTCTACTGTAAATTACAAATAATTTTAGTTATTGGCTTTAGATGGATTTTAAGTTATTGAAAATTTAGAAGTCTATAAAGAACGAAATATTTGAAATGACTGATTTAAATAACTTTACATATAGACGAGGAGAAACACTTTTTTTATATATATTAAAATGTTACACAAAAGTTAAATTGTATCAATGTAATAATATAATTCTACAATATCTCAATAAAATATTACTCCTAAATATACTACTAATCGAGTATTAAAAATGATAATACCTAAAAAAAAACTAGAGGACTCTTAATAATTGAATCGTTTGAAGATTGGTTTTACAATTAATAAGGGCATCTTGGATGAGCAACTATTTTTTTTTTTAACATGCGTTACGTTAACATACAACATTTAAGTCTCACCTGAAGTTCGTCGGGTTTCCGGAATATCTGTGTACACTGAAGACATTTGTAAGACGGACCAGCTATTTGCGGTGAATTTTCTCTCTCGGCCGCTCTCTTGTGATGGTTCTGCATGTGCGACGTTAAGGCGGCCGCTGTACTATAGCCCCGGTTGCAGACCGTGCACTGGAACGGCTTTTGATTGTCGTGTGTTTTCATGTGAATCTTCAAGTGATCGCTGCACACAGGAAAAACGAACTATTATTTTTAATTTACAAATAATTACTTATTACCATTTGTTTACAAATAAAGAAATATATTCTTTTTGTCGCGTGTGAGGACACACGTTCTGCGTCTCAGTTCAACGTACTTGCGGCCGGCCACACGTCCAATTGCGATACACACAATAGTTTGTTAGCACATACTTTTGGAGCGTGGACGATAACAATATTCGTCAGGCATTGTATTCGGGAGCACGTCTCCATAAAATTTGGGTGGGTGTGCTTATGTGTCCGTTGTGTGTTTGTGCATTTTCTTTACCTCTGTGTTAACAAGTTCACGACCGTATATGATCTCTCCCCGTAGATAATTGGACGCGTGGCCAGCAGTAATTACATTAAGATGAAAATAGAAGAATAAAAAAAAAAGGAAAAATAACAGCTATTGAATTCGGCCAGAGTTGAACGGGTACCAAATATCTTCTTTATACGATAGGCGTATAGGTACGTGACTACGAATTCAATGTATAAAGATGTGCATCCGCGTCGTGTTAATATAGTGATTACGGTTAAAAGATTGCTTACCTCCTTGAAAAAGCATGGTCGCATTGAGTACACTTGTACTTCTTGTCGCCTGTGTGTAATTTCACGTGCCGGTCTCGGCTGCGTTTGTGTTTGAACAGTCTCCGGCAGAATTGACACTTGAACGGCATCGATTCTCCATGAGTCTGAAGAAAAAATTCATACGCATTAAATAAATATCGCAGTACACTTAAAAAATCGCATCAATCAAAAGCTCAACGTAAAATCGTTGTAATATACTATGTGTATACTAAACGGTCACATAATAAGTGATACTTATATTAAATAATTAAAACTTTACAGACTTGAAGAGTTAATTATAGACTAGGTTATTTACACTACACCTAACTAAACTCATATACACCTCATCGAATTGTTGTTTTTACGAATATTGAACAGAAAATTAAATATTCTTCGTATCAGTAATGGTTATCAAGACTTATTATTACTAAAGGTTATTTCGACTCTAAATTAGACATTTTCGTGTATCATTTAAACTTAGATATTTTAAAGAATTATTTTTTACTAGACTATTTGAACGTGATTATTATAGAAGGGAATAAATTAGCTGCTTATAAAAATTAAATTAAAGCTCAATTTAAATTATTATAAAATTACATATGTATAGTTATGTTTGTAGTATATTATAATATGGAAATTAAATAAATTTAGGTGCAAACAATTATGGATTAGGTCTAAATGAAACACTGGCACTAGGCGACCAAAAATGAAATAACAATAACAATAATGGTATTATTAGAGTGTCACACATTTTTTTATATAATTGTTAATGGATTTACGATGGGGCGTTTCGGTTATACGACGACAACCCGTACACCTGTCTGCCGAGAGAGCAACAGGTGCGACATGGTCCTCAGCGGTGCTTTTACCGATGACCGCGGATTCTGGGCACGCGCCTAATCGTTGAACCGAGTCGTCAATGGTGGTACGGGAGACCAAGGCGGCACGGGGTAGGGAAGACGGGAAACCGGTGAAGAAATGCGTTTATGGTCGACCGCCGCCGGTGTCCCACCTGTCGGCAGATGGATATCTACAATTAGAGTCGAAGGTGTCTTTGGCGGTTGAAATAAATAGACCAGTTGACATTATTTTAGGCCATCTACGTCTGTATCACTGAACTAACAGATCGGCATCAGCTGCTGTTCGGACCGTGTGACCCAGCGCGTCCCTTGCGCATAATATTACATGCATATCATATAAATGTGTATTATGCGCATAGTCCGAGTGGACTACAACTTTTTTAGTGGTAAAACGTGACGACAACGTCAGTTGCGTTTAAAACGGCCAAACGCGTTCATGTTTGGAGACGTGGAGCTGATTAAAAAACGAACTAGGCTGATACCGAATAAGAGATGAGACCTGGATGTTGAAAATAATACTTAAAAGAAAATCGAGTACAAATAGAAAATGTAAAAATTTTTGGAAATTAATTTTCGCAGGCAATATAAATAGCAAGTATCTTTGAGTAAACATATATGTTCAAAAAGGAAAATAAATATACAAAATGTAGTGTACTTATAATATTTGTAATAGAAAATTCATACTAGTAAACAGAGCATAACAAATAATTAGAATTACCAAAACCAAGATGATATTGCGAAGATCAAACACTAAACTAGTGCTTTGCTTACAAAGAACTTTACAATTTATTAGCTTACTCATAATTTACAATTTTGTTTATTTAAAATTTCCCTAACAGAAAATTATTTCCGTTACAAAACGATTTCTAACTAGATACGATACAAAAACAAGTTACACAACTTTCGTGTAAGGTGCAACTAGTGTGTTTTAGTGGTTACAAAATAAAATTCTTTTAACAAGTTAATGAAAATTAAATATTTCTTAACTCAAAAGACTTGTAAATGAGATGGAGAAATAGGAATTGAAAATCGCTCTTAATGCCTTAAAAATAATTATTCAGGGGAGATTATTTATAAAATTATAATGAGATTCATTTAAACATTTTCAAATACGATCTATACTAAAAATACTGATTATGAAAAAATGTAAAATGCTTATGAACTCAATAATACAAAGTAAAATTTCAATATATTTCTTGAAGCATGTAAATAGTTCACTAAGTTTCTAAGCTGACCAGATAAAAATTTTCAAAATTATAATATAATTCATCAATAATTATATAATAAGTAGTAAATTTCTAAAAAGTAGAAATATAAATAAAAAGTAGAAATTTCATCATTAACGAGTTAAAAAACGATCGGGATAGTTGAATGAACTTTTGGTTCATTCAAGCATTAATAACAACAAAAAAAAAACATTTGCGGGCCTAACATACACCCAAAGAAAAACCTCAATCAAAATTGAAAGAGAAATTTTATCAAGGGTTTATGATAATGTTTTATTAATACGAACAAAATAACTATTCTTATAAATAATTATTGTTCAAGACAAGAAAAAAAAATATCATATTGATAAATATATCATTGATTCAATAGTAATGATATATTTATCAAATTGAACAATGAATTTATTATACAGATCGAGGTTTTTCTCTGGGTGTACACTCATTTTATGTGAAAATTATTGAGTTATTTTAAGATATAAGAAATGACATTTTAATTATGTAAAATACATAATTCAGAGCACAATAATTTTATTTCATTCTAGTGTCAATTTTGAAGTCTACATTTGTTAATCTCAAGATATATCGTAATAAGTACCAGAAAATGCATTCCAAACCATCCATTGTTACACAAATTATTTATTTGTTTTATTTTCAAGTAGTATAGTATGATTGAGTGTTTGATTAGATTTTAAATAGATAAAAACGTTTAAGGTAAAAAGTTCTTTAAAGTAAACTCGTTTTTTGCATTACTGGAGGTATATGTGACACGACGTGTTATCATTGTAGTGTTTTTACAACACCAAGCGTCAGAGGTGTTCCGTTAATATAATATCCTTGGCAAAATCTTATTATTGTTTTTTTTTTTTTTAACACGAAGCGTTTGTAATAAGATTGTGCGGTAACACGTTTGCGGCGTTTTTTTAGAACATTTATAGCAGAGATCATCTTTATAATGTGATCATACCAATGAATACGTCGCTACATTATCACGTGATGTCCTTAAATCATCGCGGCAACATTAATATTATGCAGGCGTTTCTCGACAATAGCGGCAACACAGAAAAAACATACTCGTGTGAACGGTGTACAATCTCCGAGAGGGTGACAGGACGGGGGAGTTCCGACGTGATCGCATCGGGTCCGGCAATATGTCACACTGTCGTTGTGTCGACGGACCGCTTTTTTTGTCACCCGGTTCGTTTGTGTGTTTAAGAAATATACGAAAATATTAGTCGATCCTGATGATAAATATAAATACACGGGACGGCGTAACCAGTTTCATGGTACATAAGACATCAACAAGTACTGGAATAGCCATTGAAAGCACCAAACACTTGGGTCAAATATATGACAAAATAGGGTAACATAAAATAAATGTTATTATTTTCGTGGTTGAAAAAAATTTGTCATCCATTAAGTGCATGGACTTATTAGTGTCACCAATGAGCACAAAGGCCACCGTTTCTAATTATAAAACACGGCGTATGTGTAAATTTAACACATTCCGCGATTATTTTCCAACATTGGACACCCCACCGAATATCTCTCCTTGGGAATACGAAAGAAAGGATTAAGTATCGTTTTTTTAACTCTTTATAATAGTATGACAACGTGTGAACCCAGTCGGTGGCGTTAAAAAAAACCAACTCCCGCACCGGCTTGCGCTACTGAACAAATATGAACTAGGGGATCATCCAAGTGGCCGAGCACAGATGCTGCACATGTAGTTGATGCGTTATAAGTTGATGATATACACTTGACGTTGTTTTAGGTCACACGCAGAGCGGTAACCGCAAATTATTATTAAGTATTGGACTAACTCGCAAGCATTGTCATAATATAAACGCTGGGCAGTATACACGCAGCTTGTATCCTCACCGCATCTTATTGAATGAGGCCGGTGTTCATGGTCGGAGTCAGTGGACTTGGCTGGTCTCGTTCACCTTCTCGATTAGGATAGGTCGTTATTTTACAATAATAATTATTTTCTACAATACTAATAAATGGATTGTTCGACATTATTTAAAGTAATTATTCTACAGACAACTAGACTCCTTGTAAAATACAAATAAAATTACATACATCATACGAGTTGGCCGCATTCTAAGCAATGCACATGTAATAAATTATGTTCGACACAAATTAAAAACTACAAATAATACAGGAATCAAATAATTGATTTGAGAAAAAACAATTTAGCAATTTGATTCAATACTATTATATATTATTTAATATTTTATCAATGGGACCCTTTTCCCTCGCAAACATTGTAATATTTTCACATCTTATACTTTTGTATTACTACAGCGTATCAAAAACATAACATGAATGAACTTTTTAAGAGCTTCTTAGCGACTTTTATACAAAACAACACGACATAATTATGTACGCAAAAGCGTCGACTTATAATTAATTGCGTTATAAATTAGTGAGTCGTCATTGCTTAAGTACTGCGAATTATTATTAATTACGTATTTTAACTGTTTTACACAAAAATGAAGTCATGAAATTATTTTACTGGCGATAACAATTTTCCTAACACGTGTAATAGTTCAAGTTGGCAAGATTTATATATTGACTTGTTTAGAAATAAACCTATGAATTATTTTTTCATTGAATCATTTCTAAGAAGTTTTATTCTGTTAAAATCTAACGATTTTTTCTATTTTCCCTATTTCTGAGAATATTTTAAATACGAAACGGAGTTTAGGTCAAATATATTTTTAGCAATACTATAAAATTAAATTTTTCGTGATAGATTCTATCTTTATTCATCAAAGACTAATTATTCATTTTTTTTTTTTTATAATCATTGGAAGTAGCTGAATTAATTATTTTAAATCCTTTTACTATAAATAATAAATTAAATTTTAACTCTCGATTTAGAATCAATTGACTTATTTTAGTTTCTGTGGGAAGTTAATAATTTGTTCATATAATCGTTGATGCTTTATACACTTAAATGCGAACAAACGAGTTTATTGGGTAATCCAAGTATAACATTTTAAAATTTATTAACTTAATAAATAAATTAAAAAACGATTTAGTAATTTTACCAAAATGAAATAGTCAACTGATATAAATTAATAATATTGTATCAAGTCTAAGTGTCTGATTTCATAAGTAGAGCTATTGTTCCGGTCTATTCGTAGTATGGAACTTTTTGTACTACTTACTGTTTTTTTCAAAATTATCATTTAAAGTTATTGGATAAGCCTGCGGTTCTTAAACAAAACAAAAACAATTAGGACTCACCTGCTCGTGTTTCTTCAGGTAACTACCGCGGGGGAACGTCTTATCGCAATACTGACAAGCGTACGGATTGGGGTCGGCCGTAGTGTACGATGAACGGTCGACCGTGGAACCGGGCCGGCTGTTGGATGTCGCGCAGCTGTCCGGGGACGTGTGGTCCTCCGACACGGCCGAGCTCCACGACGAAGCCGCCTCTTCCGTACTCACTTCGCCGTTACCACTCAAGGCTTCTGTAATAAAAAAATAAATACAATTTATTATTATTCACCAATCTTAATAACGTTAAGATGAGTACAATAGCAATGAATGGTGTAATCAAACTAATACAGAACGTTACGGCAATTAATATAATCCTTGTAACGTACGATTTAAGTACAGCCAACGATAACGGTGACGACAGTGGACTGAGCGACACTGCGTACAGAAACGTCCGGTACGGTTAATCCCTTTGTTAAAATCTAATCGCACCGCCAGTCACTAGTCTCGTAAGCGACATCCGTCGACGAGTAGGTGTCAATTGCCACGCGATTTACAGGGCAGCAGTTGCCTACGCGAGCTATCGTGGTACGTACTCCTACGCTAACTACGGTGATGGCTGATCCGTGTTTGTCCCTAATCACCGTAGTTCCGAGTATTCAGCGTGTCATAATAACACACCGACGCCACTAAAATTTACTATTAAGTAAGTTACAACAATGCGGGTAAACCCTTCAGTGTCTGTGCGCTAATTGGCGTGAGGACTTTTGCAGAAGTCAAGAAATCGCAACGCCTCTACGGTTATCCTATAAAATCACCTATTTAGGAGACATGTTAGTTTTGATGTTACATAGTTACTCTTGTTTAAGTGTAAAGTTTAAAAAATCAGTGTGAATCCAAGTATTTTCCTAAAGAATTTCCCGGTTTAAAAAAAAAAACAAGATACGTATCTTCACAAAAAGTTTTAATATATCATGTTGTATTAACTGTAAACACTGTTAATGATTTGATAAAATCACAGTCTTAAGTGATTTTTTTCCTGTTAACGTCGGATCTACTAATTAATATGAAATAGTTAGAAGGGTAGCAATAAAATAGTGGATGTTTATAGTTTGCAAAAAAATAATTTAGTCACTGTTATGTATTTCTACATTACTTTAAATTATGGACAACATATATGATTAATACATAAAAAAATAATACTCCAATGAAGTTAGGCAATTTATAAAATGGAAAATTATGTTAAATAAATAACAAGAGGTGTCACTCTGTAAAGAATAAATTTATTTTCCACAACTATTCTGCTTTGGCTCTATTTTATACTGCGGCGGATAACACTTTGTAGAAGCAAATTTTGATTTTTCATTTTTTTTAATTAAATAAAAAATTTTTTTAAATAAAAACTTTCTAATTTTTATTAAGCGTAACTTTAAAACTATTTATAATTATTATTTTATATTTAAAAAACGAGGGTTTTATAACAGGAAAAAATTATTTAATATAAATTTGTTAAAAAAATTAGCCTTGAACTTTTTTGTATTTTAATCAATTGTTTTGTGACAAATTACTCATTAAAATTAGTTTATTAAATTTTAACATAATTTTATAATTTGTCTTTTGTTTTTTTTTTATATTTTCTAATCTTACTCAATAGAATACATTTGTCAACAATAATCACTGGGTAGAATAAACTTATTAATTTTCTAACTTACTAAAAGATTAGGGTAAGTAGTGCTTATTAATAGTTAATTATAGTTAATTTCTTTCAATTATAAGCACAGAACCGGTGAGGGTGCTCTCCGGTTTTGTATTTACATACATTTTACCGAAAAATTATTAACATGAACCTTTATAGATGCTAAAAAAGCATTGAAAAATAATCATAATTTATCTGAATTTTAGAAAATAAATTGGCGTCTCTGAAAATATACAATTTAAAAGATAATATTCAATCTATCTGTTTTCATATTTCATATTAGATTGTTTTCTGAAGTATAACTGGTAGCTCAAGCGGTTATTGTAGTGGTAAACACTTTTCATCTATGACTAAGGGATTCTTTTGAACAAGTCAAAACAGATTTATCTAGAAAATCAAACACAGGTATTTTATGTTTAATATGTCAACCTTATTTTCATTTATTATTTTTCGACGGTAATGATCAAACGTTTTGTGGTTTGTCCTGACTTTTACTTAGAAATTTAATATAGAAACCAAAATATTGACATATTTTATTCATATCGCGAATTTAGAGATAGTTACGCATCATTTGTTAATTAGTATAAAACTTTAATAAAAAAATTAGAGTTTATAATTTCATATGAAATTACATGTAAAATTTTCAGTCGGGAAATAATATGTTAAGAAACAAAAACTATTCATAGTAAGTCCTAATTTAAGGTAATCTTTGAGATTAAATATTGAGCATTGTTTCATTATAAAAACATTTAACTTCTCTTGAGCCATTTAAAATATTTTAATATATAAAAAGTTATATGTAATACATAAGAAGAAACCTGAAATAAACTAACGCAACTTAGATATATTTGTTTACTAGCCATTACAATATCATCTAAATTAACTCTTAGTTGTATTACATTACAATAAGTACAAATAAAACATTTTTAATATACACTAACACCTATATTAATCACTGTTAAGATATTATTGAATATATATTTTGAAATTATTTACAATAGATGAATTTTCTATTTTTATCTCATATAAAAATTAAAACATAATTTTGACATTACTTTCTCAATACTCACTACTTGTTTATATCACCACCCTTTCTGATAATTAATAGTATAGATTAAATGTTTATTGTATATAATTTTATGTAACATATGCAAAGGAATCAGTATCGATGAACTGGCGACCCACAAAAATATATACCAAATGATTAAGGAAAAATTTGTGTATTAATTATGAAGTAATATATTAATATTGTAATAAAATATATAAAAACTAAAACTTAAAAAGTTTTTTTTATTAATAACAAAAAAAAAAATAGTCATACCATTATAAAGACGGATACTTTAAGTGTAGTACTAAAAAACACATCCCTTGAAGTAAATATTAAAAAAAAAATCAGTAGAATTTGTTAGCCGACTCATTATGTTTTGTTTTTTACGCACTCATCGCACAATCGAGAAATCCTTAAAGCACTATTATTATTTATTTAAAATATTTACGTTTAAACTGTGAACGAGCCGCAAGAGTTTAGTGCTTTAGTGCATTTGGAATTTTATAAACATACTAAGATAACACAAATACAGGATTTGTTAGCTGTTATTTTTATTACTTTTATGCCCAAAATCATGATATTATTTGTATTTGATAGAGTTTCCATAAAAAAGTTTAACATTGATCAAGTAAAATAATCATAGTAACAATGTTTTAATAATAAATACTTTACACGGCGCACATAATTCTGATGTTTTATAGGGGTTGTCTGAGCACGATTTTTTTCAGGGCCTTGACAAGCTCATAACGTTATACCCACATGATATTTGTTATTTACACGGAAAACGATAACAATATGCGCCAACAAGTCTGCGAATATTTATGTAGTACCCGTGTTACTTTCATTGTACAAAACATTTGTAAAAAGAACTTTTGGCGAGTCGAAAAAAAATAGCTCTCTCGAGATATAATAGGCAATAAATCTGTAAGGTTAAAAAAATAAACAAACGGAAAAAAATTCCTCAGGGATGAAGCCTGCTTTTGTGGCATAGACATAGTCATGTATGACTATTCCATCATACAAGACAAAGTGTGAAAATTTGATAATGTTTTATTTTGAAAATTATTTTTTACCTTCAATATCTTGATCGTCGTTGTTCTCCTTATTGTTTGATTGTATTTTTTCGATAAGCAATTGCAAACGGCTACTGTTGCCTTTAAACAGCATTACCTCTGAACGAAATTCGCGTTGGATGCAGCGGGACACACAAGGGATACATTCAAGTTGAACAACGCGGTGGCGGTATCGCGAGACTGTTGCGGCAGCGGCGGCGTTTAAGGTGACGACGGTAAAGTGCAGTGGACGTGCACCCTCGGAAAGACCCGCGGATCGTATCCCGACGGCACCGTGGTGGATGGATGCTGTTCACGCGGGTCTGAGGTTGTCGGGTCCAGCCGATTGGACGGTCACCCAGCGGCCCGGGCGGGGCGTTCCCCACTCTCAGCGATTTGAAGCCGCGAAGGACCGGTTCGTCCACCGTCGTAACCGCCACTTCACTCGCAGTATTATTATCAATTATACAGCAGCACAACGTCGCAAAACCAAGGGTACGAGCACGATGCCGCATCCGGGTAAATGCATCTATAACTGGCTTGCAAACCCCTTCTAATTACGGTGCTCGGCATGTTACCGTAAATACGCGGGGGGCAGTTTTTACCTAATCGAGTTCACGGTCGCGTCGAACTTTACCGTCAACCGGTTACACACCTGATTAAAAAAAAAAAAAAATGAAGTACGTAAGTAATAATATTTTGTCCAGGAATTCTTTTATCGACACATACTCTAGCTCAACATTGAGATTATTGTCATTATTAGTATTACATGTAGGTCATTGTAGTTGTCTTCCGCAACCCGAATAAAATAGTAAAATATTATTATTATTATGACAAAACAAGCCAGACTTGATGGCGGCCACAACGGCTGAAGGTTTCCAAACGGCTTTGCACGTGCATCGCCATGTATAATTATACATATTTATAAATATTTATATAAATTATAAATATTTCCAAGTCCACAATAGGTAGCTAAACATTAAATTTATAAACCAAACATAAGAAGTATTTATTTTTCTTTTGTAATATTTTTTTTAATATCAAAAATAACCAATATTAATCAGTGCTTAATATTGAAGTAGCTTTCATTCAAAAGAATCACACATAAATTTTTTGAGAAATTAAAAACCCAAACTCAATTAATATAATTAACAGCCATTAGAGAGTTAAAGTTTTAATTTTTTTTTAAGCAACATTTACACTGCAAGATAAAATTATAGGCAATCCTGAATACCCTCTGTATACTGTACACAACGTTTGTGTCCTGTAAAATAATTGAATAATCTTTGGGTAAACAATTAGTTTATTAATTATAACAAAAGTCCAGAGGATTGAGATACTCTAGCACATTACCTCCTAGAACTGTTTTAGTTAAATATACAGATACAGAGTGATCAATAAATACGGAAACGTGTTTCTATTGTTCTTATTGTTTATAAAAATTGATTATACAAATAT